TCCAACTTTCCTGGATATACAATATTTTAAAAACAACAGATGTTTGTAAAAAGATATTTTGAGTTTACAATTAATGGCTTAGAAAAATCAGAAAACAGCACAAATGTCAAAAACAGAAGAATGGTTAAAATGATTTAAATATATACCATAAGATAGAATATTCAACTACTGAAATTTTTTTTAACAAAGGGCATTTAATGACATGGGGACGTGTTTATATTAGGCAAAAAAGTAATTGTATATAAAGTTACATACAGAGTAAGAGCTCAACTATGTGAAGAAAAGAATGTACAAAAGGAGATAGTCTTAGGAATGTGGCCACTAGACAAGCAGTGGTAACTCCTAAAGGGACTGATTTTTTTTTTCCCTGCATGCTTATACTTTTCTGTATGAATATGGATTATTTGGATAATTGGGAGAAAAATACATGTCGACATCTGGTAATTCTAGTCCAGCCATAATCTTAAGTATGTAGGGGCTGTTGCTTGGCTTCAAGAGCCTACCAAGTGTTCAAAGACACTAGAGAAGACTGAAGAATGACCTTTGGACAGGTGAAAAATCATCTTTGCTTTGAGATATGCAGATATAAATATGCAAGCATAACACAGACTATCACAGCAGCTAAAGAAAAGTATAACTCACGGGAGTTTGCCCCAGTGGCTTTCCCAACAATTACCCTCTTATCTGACAATTTCTAGGATAGACTTAAATATACCTTATGTGAGGTATAAATGGCCAATAAAACTAGCTGCCCTGACCTTGAATAATGATGAGGAGTCCATGAAAGCAATTGACCACCACCCCAGGTTGCCTGTGTCTTTCCAATCCATAGCTACTCCGTGAATATAAGGAAAAAAATGGATTGAACTTCAACTGAATCAGGAATGCAGTTTGAAAATGAAGCAAGAAAAGTGGTGGAGAGGAACCAGCTCTTTCGGATTAGTCACACCAGATTTCTAAAGTGGGTTTTCAGTCATATTTGCCTTCATTACATGAAAGGGATGACCTAAGCTGTGAGTTAATGACAGGAAGTGTCTATTTCCTAACATGACTTGGCTGTGGGTGTAGAATAATTTGTATCAAAATCAAGTACATTTCCAAGTCTATCTGAGCTTGCCAGATAGAAAGAATAAAAGCCACCAATTAGGAGTTTTTTCACAGGCTGTTCTGGGCTGGTAACATAGGTACAGAGATTGGGAACCAACCTTATCTTTACAGGTTGCCTGACACCCTAGCCCTATACTATATGGTAAGTGGCAACCAGTGGTTTGCCCCCAGCATGAGAGTACAAGAAAGGGAAAAGTTACACAAACTTTATTTTGGTTCTTGAATTAATCCAAAATAGAATGTAGATTAAATCGATATTTAATTCAAAAGATGTCTATTTCTGCTAGGAAGTCATGACGAAGTTTCAAAGAACAGATCAGGTCTTGACGGGGTCGAGATCTCAGAACTTCAGAGCTATACTACTGCCTTTTTGAGTGGTAAGCAGGGATTGCCATGGTTTAGCATGGGAAACAGTAAAAAAGGATACCAAATAAAATGTATACAATTACTACTTACCTATATTAACAAGCTTCATATAAAAGCATAAGTACATTTTACAATAAGGGTGACACCTCTATACCATCCCAGTGTATATTCATTCAGCTGAGGTCAGTTTATCTCCCTTTCAAAGAGCAATTTAAAAAGCGGATCACTAAAGAGAAAAGCTTTCTATGTAAGAATCATGCTCACTTCTTCATGTAGACAGAATGACAAGAGGAGTACCAACTAGTACTCCAAATCTACCTGCTGGAGGATTTGTGTATAGCCTTTTTCATAGACTGGCATTTGATCAAAACCAAACTGTAAGGTTACTGATGGGAGATCCAGAACATCCTTGCAGGCTCATCCCATTGAATGGAGGACCTGAATTCCCTGTGGAATAATCCATTAGGCAGAGCACCAGAATTCACAGGAAGATGGGCACTCTGGCCACATCAGCACCCAGAAAAGTTCCAAACAGGGAAGCATACTTTCTTCTTAATGTCTGGTTTGACCTCCTCTCCCCAAAACAAATGATTTTTCCTACTTCTCAAAAGAATGAAGGCCACCACATGAGAATTCTCTTAACATCTAATCCTTGTACTTTAAGCTTCCCCGTAGCAATCTCGTCCTTCCTCTGCCTCGAAGCTGCCCCAGCTTGTGTCCAAAGCTAATCCTATGGGCACCTGCCCCCAAGACTGTGCTTCATTGGTTAGCTGCAGCCCTGCACACCCTGCCCTCCCATGACTCCCTCTCAGCCCGCATCATTTCTTGCCAGTGACACCTTCCTACCTGGTCTCCTGGCCTCTGGTCAGTCTGTCACAGTGGTGCCTTCTTAATGTTCAACTTCACTTCTCTGCTTAAAAGAGCTGTCAAGGTTTCCCAAATTATAAATGGGTCATACACCCAAAACACCTTTACAAACTGGAAGTTATACTTAGGCCCACATTCACTTCTCCATTTGCCTGTTTCCTAGGCACATAACATGTGTCAGGCACTGTGTTGGGCAGCCTATAATGTGCTTGAAATAGAGTTCTCTTCAGAGAATGTTACAGAATCAGCTGTACAGCCTAACCATCGTTTACGCTCCATCTATTCAACCGATATTCACCAAGCACCTACCATGCATCAGACATTGTACTGGGCACAGAGGATGTAACAAAAGACTCGGACCATCCCTCGAGAAGTTTACAGTCTACCAAGGAAAGCAACTTTTCATAGAAAGAGAGCACAGCACCCCTGCTGGGGAGAATCCTCAGGACCCTTGTTAGACACAGGTCTAGCCAGAATTTATCAGAAAAAAGACGAGCTGTCAACATTCGAATAACAAAAGAGTAAAAGGAGGCTCAGAGGCAGAGCCGTTCCTCCATTCTGTGTCCAGTGCTCTTTCCAAGATACCTGGAATCGGGGAACCAGGCAGGGTGTACTCACTGTCTACCATGTACCACACACATTGCCATCTTTGCCTCTCTCGATCTTCCAAACCGCTTTAAGAGGAAGAGATAAAGAAATGTGCCGAGGGCACGCAGACAATTCGCACCAGAGTTGGGAGCCCAACCCGGATCTGTGTCCAACAGAGGCAGGGCCTCAGCCAAAGACTGCCTGACTCCAAAGGCTCTCTCCAAACAACAACCCTCCTTGCTCGAGAAACCTTCCAAGTTGACACAGTGTGAATGACTGTATATAATAAAGTTAGGTCAGATGTCTTCATAATTCAGACGCTGTTAATTCAGAATGACCGTTCTTACACTCTCTGACTTGGTAAAGTTTTATTGTATTTGTATAAGATGAATTTAAAAAATTTTTTAAAAGACACCAAGAAGGCCGATTTTACCTGGTTAAATCTTCAGAGAGGGGGATTTCAAGGATGAACATGACTTAGCTCCCAGACTCACTGGCAGAATGGAATAGCTTTTCCCCAGAGCTGGATAAACAGGCAAGGCTGGCAGCGATCCAGGGTGACAACTCACAATGGAGAACTAAATCTTCATTGGACTACATTGGAAATATGGAGCCACTTAACTCAGGGGTGAACACGTGACTCCTTACATAAGAGGCAAGATGGCAATCAATCCTGTTTCCACTCAGGTAGACACAGCCTCTGAGTGGAAATACATACATCTCTCACCAGCAGAGACCTGTCTCTGCTGAGACTATTTCTCTTGTAGAACTGTGTGAGTAGAAAACAGGCCTCACTACCAACCCTAATGTCACCTGGCTGATGGGGATCTGAAATTCTGAACCCAAACAACACATGGCAGAGTGTTATTAGCTGAATTTTATACCGGTTTATGAACATCTGGTTCAGAAGTCACGTGCAATAAATCCCTTATCTTTAACATATAGGAAAAGGTATATTCTTTCTCTAAGTCTTTATGAATAGAGAATTAGTTTCTCCTACCCCCATTACATGAATAAGGAGTAGATATTTAAAGATTATCAGTTTGAGAAGGTGCCAATGATTAGCCTTCTCAGGACACCCACCTGCCTTGGGTCAGCTCTGGCTTTCCCATGGGAAAGAACTGTGCTCAAACAATTTCATAACTCACAAGTGTTTGCAGTTCCCATTAAAAAAAAAAAAAAAAGTGTCCTAATCTAACCCAAGCAGTAGTTGTTAGAAAAATTTAATAACACTGAGAATTCAACAGTTCAATCTATGACATTATGAGCAATTTTCCCTTCTCTAGAATCTGTAAGCTAAAAAGATCACCTTTCCACAAAAGAGATGATATGGTATTAGTTGGTTCCATATCTCTACAAAGTGCTGGCTACCTTGGCCTGACCCACGTTCTCAAGTTCATAACAAGGACCTTATAGGACCAGGTTGAACAAGCCTCTCTCCCTTTTGAAAAGCACAGTTGGATCAAAGTCTTTGAGGACATTTAACTTTTGATTGCCTTAATTTTTTTGAATGCATACTCAACTCCTATTATTGTTCCTAATATTTTCCAAAAGTGACCTTAATATATTAAAATCTATAGAGTTAATCATAAGTCACCTATTAGTCAACTGTTTTCAACTTTTATTTGGGCAATTATTTCCTCTACCTGAGCTTTCACCGAGTAATAAAACTGGGTCATTTGATTTGGCCATCTCTACTTCTCTTTCAGAAAGAAATGATAACAAACAGTAAAATGGTCCACAGAGCAGCTCAAAAGGAAAGACAGCTAAGCTCATTATAAAGAGCTCTGAAAATTATCTATATAAATGGTACCAGAATAATTTCAGAATTAAAGCATTGAAATTATAGCCCTAAATTTTATACTATTTATGAAACTTTACAGTGTCCTTTACAACCTTCATGTATGCTCATCAAGTGGTGTTTCTTCTCCCCCAGAAAAAAAACCTAGTGTTTATCATTCAGGGACCCAAAGTGTGAAACACTGCTCTTCTTTCAAGGAAGTTGCTACCCACCTGAAAAATTTTTTACAAAGAATCACTGACAACAAGGATATCTAGTTTCATTTACTTACCTATTGCACCTGGAGGAATGCTAGGAAGTTTCAATGAACAACTTCAGAAAAACGTCACCTAGAGAAACAAATTGAACAAAACGTTAGATTGAAAGAAAACCACATGAAGAAAACTTACCATGCAATTTTACATCTCATTAAAATATGTGATATTTCAAATATTGGTTTCCAAGCAGCATATAGTTCAACTTGCATTAGGACTTAGCTATCAGAAACACTGATGCACCAGCACAGGTTCCAAATCACTGGAGAACCACAAAAAAATAAAAAGGCAGTGGGGGGCGGGGTGCAACCCAAGAACACACTCCTTACGACATCTTCTTCTTTCCTCTCACAAAAAGACCAACTTGTGTCCTTGAGGGCACTTGATAAATAATCATAAAGGCTCAAATAATCCAGAAACAAATTAAGGAATGAGATATGAAATTGTGAATGAGGAAGCTATCCTGGCAGCACTTTATATCTTTCAGTTAGTTGGTTAACTTTTTTTTAAAGCTAAATTCACAAGGATGTCAAGGACCGGAAAAATTTTTTTAAAAAAGAAAAAAGGTTCATTAAAACTCTAACATAATAAACAGAGGAATCAAGAGGTAAGACTTCATTTAATGATTAGTTTATTCAGAAATCAAATATTCCTTTTGGTGTTCTCAAAGTCTTCAGGTAACCTTAGAAAATTATAAACCTCTTAATACAGTCACAAAACAGAGAATGCCAAAAGGTCTGTTCAGCATTGCTTTGACATATTCAAAAGAAAATGAAACAAATTTCTCATATATTATCATTTATTGAAAATCTATTGTGCACCCAGGACTTATGGCATCAAATTACAACCTTTCCAGCCAAGTAGTATGTCCACTGACATACTCATAAGGTCCTTTGTTATAACACTTTAGGGAAGTTAAGATTTTTTTTAATAGTTCTTTGTAAGTTAATTACTAGCTAAATTCCAAGCATTTCCCACAATTCTATTTTATTCCTTTGTGGATTGTCAGGGGAAGTCATGATCAGTATTTTTATCTGGAAATGGCCTCTGTGAAATAAGTCACTAGGATTATTATGAATGAGTCTGTTATAAATGAAGTTCTTGATCAACAGTTCATTATCTCTAAAAGTTAAATGGGTCATTAAAATACTTGAACTAGCACAGTTCAAAATCAAAGATAACATTTAAAAAATTTCTTTTGTTACATACAACACAAACAAAGCTCTGAACAATTAAGACAGATCTCAAGACCCAAATAGTAACAGAGAAGGCTGGGGCGAATGCTGATGCCCACCTAACACTTTCCAAACTAACACTGATGGTTAAAAAACACTTCATAGAATACATAAATTTGGCTTAAACTCTGAAGAAGGTATTTGGGAATAAGTTTTCAGTATCATGATGGAGCTTTTCTAACAACAAAGTCTCATCTTGTAAAACCACCAAAGCGATCAAAAAGATAAAACATGCCAATTCTGTTATTGGGTTTGGTCAGTAAATAGGGTGTTATAGTTATTTTTATTAAAAAAAAAAAATATACTATTTCAAAAAAATGTAGACTAAAAATATACTGTCATAGAAAATAAATATACTAAGTCACAAGAAAATAGTTATTAGGCATTAACTGTCAAGCACTGTTCCATGTATGTGATAAGAATTAACCCACTGACTTCTCACGAAAACCCTGTAGTACTAACTAGTGTTTCCCTCACGTTAAAGAAGTAAACACAGAGATATTTTTTAAATTTTCCAAAGATTAGATGGCTGCAAGAACTGAATATTTCAATTCATATACATTATCCTATTTAATCCTAACAACTATTTAATACAGGCAGGGCAAAAAAATTTAGCCTCATTTTAAATTTGAGGGAAACAAATTCTAGAGTAAAGACCAACTTCCCAAAGTCACACTGCGAGACAGCAACAGGGTCAAGAGTGGAACCCAGCGCATCTGACTCTAAGGCTCATGCTACTTTTTTTATTTGCTTGTTTTTTTGCTGTAAATTCTGTTAATCAATATGTAACTCAATGTAGACTGTGTTCTGCCTTTAATCTCTGAGAGACACCTCAGGGACCTCCCGAGGGCTGCAGTGACTATAAGAACAGCCGCACACACAAAGGTGTTATCATGCTGTCCTCTCATCATTTTTCCATTTCTCTGTGTGTAATTAATGTTCTTCCCTTATTGGTTACTAAACACACAGGACCTTATAAAAATTAGAAATATTTGCCTTTGTCATTTACCATACTTTTGTCTTCATTTTTATAGATTAGTAGTCTACTTGGCCATTTAAATTTATAGCCCAATAAATGGAGGCATTGTTTATTCTCACAAGAACCGTATTCCAAATAAAATGAAAACCACTTAGTTTTGCACATTGAGTTAAAAATGTCCACTTCCCATTCATTTCCATTTGAGTCTCATACCCTCTGGTCCACTTCTGGAGATCTGGAGGAGAAACAATAGCCGCCTGTGGTGCCTGAGCACAGCGCCCACGTGATAGGCACCAGCTCTTATTTATTGAACTGAATTGCCAAAAACGAGAAGCAGAGTTCTACGACTCCTCTCTGTTATAAATGTCTATGACTTGAAATGTATTGATTTGAATTGCTTCATGTTACTCTGTAAAACTAGAACCAAGAAGTGTAAATTATTTTGGAAATTATATGAATAAATTTCAGCTTAACTAAAGAATGTCATATTAAAGAGAGTTGCTCCCCCAGGGATCTAGGTTGCCTCTGGGGTAAGCTAAGAGGCAGGTGCTCATGATCACAGAAGCCATAGAAGGGGGAAGTCTTGATAACTGCCCTTGACACTCTAACACAGAGTGTCCTTCCATGAACCCTGCAATAGTTCACTACCTCTGTAGTCCCCAACCTTTTTAGCATCAGGGACCAGGGCTCCTATGAGAATCTAATGCCTAATGATCTGAGGTGGAGCTGAGGCAGTGATGCTAGCGCTGGGGAGCGGCTGCAAATACAGATGAAGCTTCACTTCCTGGCCCACTGCTCACCTCCTGCTGTGCAGCCTGGTTCCTAACAGGCCACAGACCAGTACTCAGTCAGTAGCCTGGGGGTTGGAGACCCCCATACTACTCCCGTCTTTGGTGGGAATGGGGGGTTCCCATGGCAGATCACTGAGTAACATCCATAACACTTTCCAACTCATTTTCTCATTTGACCCACACTATGAGTAGAACAGTAGCTGGAGTGGGGGTAGGGGCAGACACATCATTTATTATTTCCATTTTACTGACTAGGAATTTGAATAACTTAAGTGGAATCACAATTAGTAAATGCTAGAATCTGGACTCCAACCTAGGACTTCTGACTACTAAGTCCAGGGTATTTTCAGCTAGGCAATATTGCAATGACCAAGACATGATCCTTTTTAATCACCACACTTATTCATCAAGAACAGGGGCAAGGGTGAGCCCCAAAACCTTGAAGCATGGAAATGAATACCAAAGGAGATGAACTAAAAGCAAAATATGGTAAGAGCCCTATTCCTCTCACAAACCACCTCTTCTACCTAAGAACTCTATTTTTGGTAGACACACTTTCTAAGGCTCTGCTTACATGAGTCAACTGAAGGAATAATTGTCCAAATTCTGCTTTACTATGCTCTGCTGATACAATAATTGCTTGGGGAAACTGGTTCATGTTTTAAGGGGAGTTGATGGCAGCATAATAAACACAAAGAGCACTGTCCCATTTCTGCATTTAAAGCATAAATTGCTCATAGCATAAGCTGGTAGTTTTTTTAAAAAATGTCAATGAAATGCATTGACTCTATTCTGACAACAGGTCCAAGATAGCCTTACACTTGAGTCTGACAACAAGAGTTTAACAGAAATGGGTCAGCCACTGAAAGACTGATGAACCTTGAAGGAAAGAAGTGTCAAATTTCATGAAACTGTCTACCAAGCAGAGAGAGTGGCAAGCTGCCAAAGGCTGGACTGTGTGAACTCGTGTGAAATGCTGGGAACCTGAACCTCTATAATGCCTGCCCTGCCACTCAGCCACAGAGTGAATGACAGAAGTTCAAGTTTCCAGAGACCTCACAGACTATGCGCCAAATGTTAAACACAAAAACTTCCTTTTACTCTTAAAGAAAAAGAAACTACTCGATTCAAAAATCGCGGCAACATGGAGTTGTTAAAAGGTAAGTTTGTAAAATATCTGGGTACAACAGACCAATGTGCCAGCAACAAGTCATGTTCAATTATAGTGCATTTGAACACATCAGGTTTGTGCATCAAAACAGCTCTTGTTATACACACATAACCAGGACCACATTTATTCATATGATTATTAGCATTTTCCCAAATATCTATTGGATCAGAAGCTCCTTGAGAACAAAACAAATTCTAGCTTATTCCTCTCTGTATCTCTTGCACTTAACATGGTGCCTAGCACTGAGTGGACATTTCATAAATGTCTGCTGACTAAACAACTGATGATTGCATCAGGATAGTTTGAAATGGCAAGATATGAGGGAGAGAGACACACCAGACTAACAGGATGGAGAAAATAGAGCAGAGAGGATAGCAAGAATTCCAGAGTGAGGAGAAAGCACAAGAGATAAATGATGAATCTGCAGGCAGAGAAGGAGCCTGGGGTGTGATGGTCACGCTGTCCATGCAGAGGTACTCCTCAGTGGGTGTGTTTTCAAAATGCCAGTGTCTGGACCAACCTCCGTGAACTCCTGGAATGGCCTTTAGAGTATGGGTGACAGGGGCAAGTATGTATAATTAAAGATGCAAAATTCAGAGAATTTTGGAGAAAGCCTCCTCCAGACAATAAATGGTCTTAATTCTCTTGCTTTTTAAAAAACCCTGAATATAGTTATCTGATCATTTTGTAAGACAAAAACTGTTGTGAATGTTGCCGAGCACCAGAAAAGTATAAGCCTCATCAAATACCTCCAATCAACTTGTTTGAGAATAGGTCATTTAAGCTTGGCAGACACAGGCTGCTACAGGCAAGAGGTGAGTGCTGCATAGCCCGGGAGTGTGCAGAGGCAAACAGGCAGCCGCGACTAACTTGGACTGGATGTGCTGACAAGCTGTTTC